GTAATGCGCCCCTAAGTGGCCGTACATGAACTAATTGCTGCGAGGTTATCCCATATATACGGTTTAATTGCTCCAACTGCAGCAGCAATGGAACCATTCTCAGAACTTGCTGTGAGATCCCGCTTAAAGAAGAGAGTTACTCCTCCCTTCTATTCATATCAGCAAGGGATGCGGCGATATAGCTTGTCTTAAGCGTCACGGGGTGATTTAATAAAATGAAGTTTCATATTACGACGCCTTAATAACTATTAATTTCCATCTCTTTAACTCTGTAAATTAATGAATATTTTACGAGAATTTATGGTTCCTTATGATTTCGCCTACCAATAAGACTTGAAAAGCTGAAAAAGGTTCCGTTATATTTTTATCGTTAGAAAAATAAATATAGAATAATCGATTTTTTTTTCTTTTTGTAAAGCAAATCGCAAAATGTGGTTTATTGACTTGTCTGTTTTTATTACGAAAATAAACGTCGAAATATTAACAATAACAAGAAGCAGTATCTTCAAATCGGTATCGTGCAAATGTCATAGGTAAAGAGGTAACTGATCGTTAAACAAAATTTAAAAATAACAGTCGGAGAGAACAGTCTGATAAAACACGAGTGGCGAGTATATGTTTGAAGATGGAGAGAACTGCCGTTGTTCCTATTTATTCTAAATTTTTTCTCTACGATAACGCGATACGACGCTGATCGATAATCCGGATTTCCTGTTAACAAAAGAGCTTGAAAGCCTCTCGCGGATGTATGCAATTGCAAATATTTGATTTGTAACAGTGCAATGTTTGAACAGCAGACTCACAAAAATAGTAGAACGCGGAACGTGACGTAAAAACGTGATGCTAATAATTTCCCTTGCAATATTTTTAACAAAAATCAATAAATTATCCCCAGTTTAGAAAAAACAAATTATTGGCACAGCGTATTTTATACGGTCATATCAAGTATCGTTACTTATTTGTGCGAAAAGATTTTTGAGACTTTCTATTGATCGAAAGTACCGCTGACAAAGCATCTATACAATTATTTTATTTACCTTTCAATATTTCCAAATAGCGAGAATGATTTCGAGTAATTATTAATTTTATATTAAATTTAATTGACGTTGCGTATGTGTCAGTACAGAGAGTTATTTTATCGAAGTTAATTTTCACGACAAACTAAATATCCACCCATTTGATACTCTCTTTGATATTTTTCTATTACGCAATTTTCGTGAATGGCGTTAATACACTAACAGACGCAAATTGCATAATCGTATCTGTGTTAATTAATACGTCTGAATCAGCTTTGTGCTTGGAGATTCCCAACTAATGGGTAAGCTCTCGAATTTCATGACGCGTACTTGTCTACCTATATGTTATACTTCGTAGCACGTTCGACGGGATAAAAATAATCTAAAATTACTATTCAACGCTTTATAACAATTCTAAATTAAAAGTATTAAAATTAAATGATTAATATATTTCTATAAAATAATATAAATATACATTTTTCTTCCGATCAGTCATATTTTATATTATCTGCACAATTTATGTCACATAAGTTATAAAAGTATAGAATATTTCGAGACAAATTGTAGATAAGCAGGTACGTGGAAAGAAAAAATACAACGTCAATTTAGCAAAAAAAGAAAACATTTGTTCTGCGCAACAAATCCATTAATACTCGCATACCACACGTTTTCGAGTGAAATTGAAAACTTTTCGCGATGCAAATTGACGTCGATTCATACGTGTGGAGCAGCCGGTCCTCAAAAATTGAGAGCTTCCCGTATAGCATAACTATTTGCATGTTGGCATTGTAACAGTACGCTATTGCAGCAATCACCATGACGGTTTGCACCGTTACGCGGTGCAGTTTCATGGTTGTAATCGAAATGGTTGCACCTCGGGGAACCGTGCGGTTTTCGCCGCGCACTGTTTGTACGATCTTCCGCGGGGGGCGTATTATGCGCCGGCCAAAAACCACAGACGACGAACTTCGCGGACCCGGTCATGATTAAACCAGTATTAAACCCGAGCTCCGGAACGCGGATACCGTTCGTACCGGCGACGACGTCGAAGTGCTCGTGTAACAACAAACTTCAGCTATGAACTCTACGAATCTGCCAAGTACATTTGCGATCTGCCAGGATCGTTCTTCTTGAAGTGGTTTCTGTTAGAGATCAGCGATCGTGTTACCGCATAAATCGAACGACGCCGACAAGCGCGCGACACATTTCGAGGTCTTCTTTTTTAAGACTCAACGATATAATGAATCGGTTAATTTCATTTCGTCAAAACATTAATGCTGCAAACGTAATTTATTATTAAAAATTGGAAGCGACTGAATCGATTTAGAGAAAGAAGTAATCTTAACGTTGATATTAATCGAAAAGTCAAAGTTCACGCGGCGAGAGATACGTTCTAAATTTGAATAACTGTCCATTGTCGAGAGAATCCATCGCTAAATTCACAATCAAGCAGATTTTCCATGGGAATAGGCAACGTTTCTATATTTACCAATGAATTTAGCTCGCTTGCGATTGATCGCGATCAATTCAGTTAACCGCGTTAAATCCCACGGGAATAGCCGTATCGGTCAACCTGTAAATTCGTACGCAATGAAGACCGCAAAATTTACGGAAGATACGTGTAAGCACGTCCCAGTATAAAATCGTCTCACCGTAACTTTCGAAACGACCGATTCCCGCAATCGGATAGAAATATTTAAAGTTTCGAACACCGAAACGTTCGAAAAATAAATAAATAGTAGTCAGTTGAATTTTCAATAAAAAGAAAGAAAAACTTTCATGCACGTGAAAAAAAATACGTGGCTACGAAAAAATTCGCGAATTCCGATATAATTCTTCAACGCTCAAATCATTTATTTGTTATTATTCTTAGAAAATTGATTATTATAAATAAAATAAGATACTGTGGTCACTAAAAAAATTTACTAAATCTTAATACATATTTCTTTGAATAACTATGTAAATATTTGCTTACAATAAATATTTATTTTTAAAAAATTATAATTAAATTAAATTTTTTGTATCAAATAAATAATATTTACATATAGTAAATTTATTTAGAACTATTCCGAACAAATATTTTTTTTAATTTAGTAGTATTTTTTCAGTGTTGAGCAGAGAGCGACTTGTTAGCACACTAATGATATTTTATATGTAGTTCATATTTAATTAGCTCTTTGTTCAAGATTTACAATTAGTATCTCAAGCTGTACATCAGAAATGTCGAAATTTTTAGTTATTCCCACGGCCTGTCTTAATTTCACTTTTCTTTATCTTTCACTATTTCTCTCTACTTTTGTGTGTTCATAAAAACAGGAAAAAAATTAAAGATCGCATATATGTATATATAGATAACGATCTTTATTTTTTCTATTTTCGCCTCCTTTCTTTGTTACGTTCCATAAACATCGCAAACGAATGTGAAAATGCACTTTTAAAAAATTCACATTAATCTCAAACAACAGCTAAAATCCTATTCTTCATTCCTTTTAAATGTCAACTTCATTATCGATGACAGGATTTTAATTAGGAGTCAACTTCACATACTCTCAGCTGATCTAAATACGGAATTTATGTTATGTACGGATATTAATCCGGAATAGGCAAGTTTGACCGCAGACTGGTCGTTCGATGACATTCCGCGACGGTTTAAAACCCATTAGGGTCAGGATGGATTAAGAGGAAGTGACCAGAGTCCATTTAGCGCGTGTTTAATCGATTGCTGACTACTCGAATAACCGCGGTAGAAATTGACTTACCGACAGCCCTCTCTGCGCCACCTCTCCATGCCCCTCTCTGCGATTCCCTATTGCTTATTACGTACATATAACGCACAATAAAAACACATATGCTGAAAGATGCAGTAAAAGTGGATATTTCATTCACTCGCTTTTTATGGAATAGCCAAATTTTTATCAAGTTTTACTGAAATTTCATTTCAGCGACTATTCCTGCTACGAAAAGCAAGTTTTCTATCGCAAAACATATTGAATTCCTTGAAATAAAAGTTTCTAAAGGTTTTCATGTATGAATCATTTGACAGTCGGGTATTATTTAAAAATATTTTTTTTTTCTGTACAATTTTTGTGATATAACACATATGTTGTATTTTATATATAACTGTAAATATATATTTATTACAATATTTTTATGACGTATTTGTGACAAAAATTACACTTCAATAATGAATGCGTTATTATACATTTTATTTCTGAACATGCTTCCATACTAGGCTAACAGTTAATTAACGAAGGAAACTTTTCGGGATATCTATCGAGCTCACGTGGAAAACGAGAGGAATGTGAAAGGAGCGAAAAGGACGAGACGCAGAAGAGGAGCCGGTTAATACCTTCGGAACTCTGCTAACAAATTGCGGAAACGAGTTTGGATTATTATCGACGATTTTCCTGAAACTTCCTGAGTGGTGTTGAAATCGTTATACAGAGTTAGGATACCATGGAATTCATTGTGAAATTTATTCGTATTAAACACAACGGTATATGTCTTATATATGGCATATGACTAAGCGCTCTTATAAATAACACGATTTTGTGAATATAAAATGCTTGCGAGATTAATACACATTGTGAATGAAAATGATTTACGAACAAATGTTTTTTTTTTTTTTCAGATCTTGATTCTCTATAAAAAATTTTTCTAACAATAAGTTAAAAAAATATACATATTTTACATAAAATGTCAAATTAAACACTATGCGAATAACTAGGCATTCAAATTTTTACAAACATCTCACCTTTTTTTTTAAATGAACTATATATACTGTACACATTATTTAATTTCATTACATGCAAAATGCAATTTATCCTAAGTATTACATTTTTAAGAATTGCATTTGTAATGCAATGACATTAAATAATGTGGCTGTACATGTATTTATAAACAAAGAAGCAAAAAGACTTGTTCAATTCTTTTCTATACAAAATAAAAGTACTTAAATATCCGTAAAACATTTCCTTCATTTTTACAAAAATTACAAAAAAAATATCCAAGTTTTAAAATTATTATCATAATCGCGGTGTTACCCTAATTGCGCGTATAGGAGAAAACATTCAGGTTTCCTCGGTAGCATTGTGGCAAGCTCTAACTGGAGAGTCCGTGGAATGTCGAGACGAAAAGCCTGCGAATCGTACGTAAGACAGTTTTTGATGACTCTCATTGACAATTGCTGTAGAGTGAACATCGGTAGCACGATGTGCACGTTGGTCCTCTCGATTCTTTGCGGTAGTTTGTCCTGCGTAACACCACGGTACTGGAGAAACCATGGCGCCGGAAAGAAAACATCGCGCTGCTCCGCCAAATACCTGTTTCGTTTTGCCCTAGTCATTATTAATCTATCTATTTGATGCTAATATTTCGAAAATATTTCATACTTTGTGAACTAACGGACGAATGTCAGAATACTTTACTCTCTCTCTGATCGCTGGGGATCAATGAATTATGTGATCCATAAAAATCTTAATTTTATAGATTAAACATTATTTTATAGATCAAATTTAAACAATTAGGCAGATATAAAATAATTCAGCTAATCTATCTAGAAATATGGATACTATATTATATTCACGTTTTATGTAGCATTTTAAGAATCAAACAGTGAATAAAAGCTGATTTATTTTCAAAGTAATGGACTGAGTCTCTTTTATGGTCTATCTTTATGGACTATCTTTTTATGATCATTATTACAAATTATGATCATAAACTGCAATATTGCAAATTATGATTACCCATGATTTAGAAATAGTTGACCGTATACGGATTATTGCTGACACAATATCGGTGAGCAAACGATTATTGTCATTACACATACCTGTCGCCCGTTTCTTTATTGACGAAAATCCACGGATGCGTATAAAACGTGTTTATTTCCCTGTAGTCCCCAGCTGACAGATCGCCATAATCAATTGCCTGCCCATCATAATCCATCCAGTATAAAGTAATAGTATGAGGTGTTGTGTTAATAAACCTGACGAAGGATTCGTGTTCACTGTTGAGCGACCGAAATATCGGCCCTTGCTGTTGATTTTCATCCATTTTGCGATTTTTATCCGTCCGCTTCCTCTTCTTATATTTGTAATGGAATTTCGAGTCTTTACTAATCTCTCTTTCTTCTTTCGCCAGAAGAACTGGAATTAAAGATTACGAAAGAAAGTTAATTAAACGGCGGCATTGTATATTCGAGCTCGATAAATATGAAAACCGTTTTATCTAAATTCTTATTATGAAATATTTTAATTCTCTTATTTATATATTTTTCTTTTTTATTTATAAACAAACTATGTGTGTGTCATCGAATATGTTACAGATTAATGTCTTTATATAAATCTGGGCTTTCAATAGGGCAAACAGAATTTTTTTAATCGCTGTATCTCGTTTCTCGGATTAAAAAAAAATGTATCGATGACCAATAATCTCCTTAAAACTTTTATTTGCCTTTCAACATTTTTGACAAACTGAATTGAATCTCTCGGGGAATAGGTGATACGAAATACACGAAAATCTGATTTGTCATGACTAAACAAGCCTATATACATCTATGGAAATCGATTTATCAAGTACGGCTGCATCGCTGGAATTTGAGAAACGAGAGGAAAAGAATACTAAAAATCGATTGCATCGCAAATCAAACTCAATTCAAATGAGAAGATATTCCACGATAACTCGTATAGTGTTGAAAACATCTAACTTTAAACCCAAGTAGATATATGTATATATACATATATACACATATGCGTATATATTATAGATGCATGTTAAATAGAATCGTAAATATACAAAAAAAAAATCAATAACAATTATCAATTATAATACAACAAAAAAATTTTTAATGTTTGAAACTAGATAAATTCCATAAATATTTCATGAATCTTTATATACCCCATTCTTTGTATCTTTTATATATTGTGTGTATATATATATATATATATAACAAAAATCGTATGACTCATGAAATATTTATGGAATTTACCTAGCTTCAAAAATTTAAAAATAAATAAAGTTTTTTTACTTTTATTATATTACGAATTTATTACTTATTATTATGTACATACATATACACATATATAATAAATTCATAATATAATGATATGGAAGATCCGCTTACAATGCACGCGACATTAAATCCGCTTAGAGAACGCGTAAGAACTAATTAGTTGCGCGAATGATTAGCTGCGACGACGAGTACAAAGGCGGAGAATCGAGTGAAGCATTTGCGATTTTAGTGGAGTTCCAAAGAATCTCAAAGAGCTTCTAGAGACGATTAGAGAGAGAGAGAGAGAGAAAGAGAGAGAGAGAGAGAGAGAGAGAGAGAGAGAGAGAGAGAGAGAGAGAATGGCGCGTTTTCCAGGATTGTAAACAGACGAACATAGACGTTCCCATCTGCTGTAACTTGCATTTTCGCCCTTCGGCGTTCCGTAAAATCAAGCAATCCGTTAGAGACGATCCACGTTCTCGATGGCTTACAAAATAGCGAAACAATGCCGACAAACGTCGAAACTCCATTACGGCTTTTTGCAGAGGCAAGCAGGCGAGTAGGTACATGCGAGCAGAATTTCTCTGATATATATTATGTACGAACTTTTGTGCGCGATTGTACATTCTCGTCGTGTTTCAACTTCTGAAACTAACCAGGTTGAGGAAACCTTAAAATTACCAATCGATTTTATGATAATTAAACAATTTAGGTCATAAAGAAATTTATAATGAATACAATTAAATCAGATCTGCTTGTGATTTCCGCTTTATCAGATTGTATCATTAATTTATTTATTAGATCCGACGTTTCTTATCCTGTATATAATACCATGCGATTTAACGACAACGACGCTATCGATGAATAAAATGGTAGCTGCTTCGATCAAAGTTCAACAAAAGCACCAATAGGACGGAAAAGTTTTCCGAGTTTTGTCGATTTTCGGAAATTGATTCGCGATTCGAGATGTGACGCGTCGTAGTCAGAATTAGCGACGACATGGAGAGCGAGATTTACGTCCGCAGAGTTCCGGCAATAAGAAGTTATTCCGTATATCTTGCGAGATTTATCGTGACGACTCTTTCTCGCGGGATACGAAGTTTCGGCGGAAGTTTCATCCGTACCTGAATTCGAAAATTACGCCTGTATATCATAAAGGTAATCGTGTCTCACCCATCTATCTTATTTCACCACATTAATTTTATTTGTATATTTATAAGTATGTAAAATATAAATCACAGCAATTATAATTAATAAATATGATCGAAATAAATAATCAATTTTTGTTTGATATAGGCATTTTTTATTATTGAAATATTTGGAACGTTATGTTTAGTTAAAATCGATTCTGCTCACTTTGTTCCGCTAACTTATAAGACGTCAGAAATCCAAGCAGTAAGTTTTTTTATAAATAGTATTTATACTAATAAATTATAATATAATAAACTTCTTCGATATAATAAGCTACATTATTTAAATAAATTTCCATTATAATTCCTACGACTTACGATTAATATTGAGATATCATTGAAGTATATAAGTAGAAAAGTAGGACGACTGGAATTCTTCATAGAAACACGTTTGCCCGGTTGAATTTATATTTTACCGCCGGCACGCGAATCTGCCGCAAAAATTTTGTAACAACTAAATTACTCCGCCGGGAGAAATATTTCTGCGAGCTGGAGCCCTTCGTGCGCAGTGTTGTGAAATTTTCCGGGGACTCTCAAAAGCGAAAATAGCATTCATGCAGGAATCCGAACACGGCGATGCCAAACATACTGTAAAAGCATAAAAAAGGGGGGGGGGAGGAAACGAACTGAGCGAGGCGTTACATTAATTCGCATTTTTGGTGACGAACCCCGCGGTTTTACTCGTTCCGAGTGACACACGTGCTCTTTTTTACTCTCATTTTTTGCGTAGCCTTTGAAAATATTTCGCTGAAAAAAATTGGACAGATCCGCCGCTTTGACAGGCTCCGATTACCTTAAAAATATAATAAACGGCAAACGCTTTGCGCCTACATGATGAATTGATCAACTTGCGGGACCGGTCGAAAATTTGGCTTTTACTGTAAAAAAAATAGTTTTTTTTTTTTAGAAAATCTTTCACATGATATTCGACCCATGAGATGATTGCGATGCGTAATAAATAATATTTCGAACTGGCAATTAACAATTAAAGTGATAAGAGATTTAAGTGGTAATCCATCCATCTATCTTCCTTTTTCATATCTCGAGGTAAGAAAGCGAGTGCATTACTGTCAATCACTTCAAATTTTTTACTGTTTAGCTGTTCCTTAATCATACTGATGGATAGAGTCTCTTAGAAAGCTAATAGGGATTAAGCTGACTGAAGTAATCCTCACGTGGCGTAACTGCCACTCGCGTCGCTCTAGTTCACATTTAAAATTACTGTGATTTACGTGATAATTTATACTCTCGCGGAAATCGAGATAAAAGCATTTTATGAATATTTTGTATTAAACCTGGTGCACGATACCGTATTCCCTTTGATATGAATTTCATTCAATTGTACGATGATATTTGTCGATAACGATTAATAAGTTGAAAGAATAATGTGACCAACATTCTCATGAAAGAGTATATTTTACGAATAACGATCAAATTACGTACCTATATACATTTTTCCATTTACTTTCTATCTTAACATTTTAACAATGCGATTGAAATATATATCAGTGTTTGACTATATGTTCTATTACTTCTTCCCGGAAGAAAAAGGAGAGCATTGTGAAATTACTGCCATTGATTCATCTTTAAATCTCTGAAAATAAAATTTTGTCCGCCTAGTTTCATCTGAAAGTATAGAGTTAATCATATTTCTCAGTCACTTCGATATAAAGAATCGAGAAAAAGGACATGTATTATTAACGTATGGCTAACACTTAGGCTAAAAGTTGCACTTCTGGGGCTACGGACAATTAGAAAGTGCACAAGCGAGAAATCAAACTGTTTATTTCGTCTACCTGTGCCGTAACCAGAAATTGCCAGAGACAAGCGGAAACCGTCATTGTAATTCGTCTGGTAATTCGTAACTAATTCCACAAAATCGCCATAAGCACAAAGAGCTGCGGCAATGTTTCGACGAGAGAGTTCTCTCTTGCCTAACGAAACCTCGTTTACTACGGCAGAGACGATCACTGCACGTTACAGCGCGCTAAATAAACGCGTTGAACCCGTGTAGTCGAAGTGAGTCGATAATTAGACCGCTCTCAGGCAGACGCGGTAATTATTTGCAATGTTTACGTTATATTATTCTCGTTGCAGTTAGACATCGCCAATTTTCCCCAATTATCGTATCATCAAGACATTAATGTTCTTCGTAAAATTCATTAATCGAATAATTAAAATAATCATCTTTTTTTCATTATGAGGCGAATTGGAACTTATACATAAAATTGCAAAAATTGGACATCGATTAAACTCACGAATTTCTCGGTCAAGCGCGCGCGCGAGAGAGAGAGACAGGGAGAGAGAGAGAGAGAGAGAGAGAGAGAAATCTATTGATATATCTATTTGCACCAAAGCGAACCTGATAGATTTATCCTTCCAAATGGAAACGATATATATATATTTGATAAACTAACACGGAAGATGGAGCGATATCCAATAAGCCTCAAGAACGTTCGGCGATTCGGCTGTCGTGGAGAACGATAAGATATATCTCGTTTCCTTTGTAAAATAGTCATGTAAAGGCAATCGTGATAAAATATTGGTAAAATAAATCTCTCTAAAAGTATGTCACGAATAGTTCTAAAACCTATACGGACGCGTTTGTTATTCGCAAGTGAAAATTGGATGTTTGACCATCGATAGAACCAAGATGTAACTTTATATGTTACACGAGGTTTAGAGTTAATAAAGTCGACGAGGTAATTCTATCGCGAGGAATAAGAACGTACTGGTACGATTCCGAGCACGATTTAGTCCAACTGGCGTCAGTAATTCTCTCGTTCGCTTGGTTCGTTCGACAGATGTATGCACAGTCGTCTGCAGTGAGAAGGCGGCGCAATATTGAGGTTTACAGGCTCATCAAGTATTTACTTAGGCCGAGCTAGAGACGCGCAAGGAGAAACAGAACCGCGAGACGCAAACCGAGAACGAATACTTTATTATAGCGCCGCGTGCCATCAGT